CAAGTAAATTGTACTTTTGCAGGAAAGAACTCTAGCTCAGGGTTTTCCAAGCTAAATTGCATGAAAACACACAATCCTTTTTCTTCTTATTTGAACGGTTAGATGACGGGTCCAAATTATCAGAAAGACCAAAGGCAGTTTGCAGCTTTTAACAACTGAAAGGACTTATTGCTCCCAATTCAGAAACACAAAAGATCTGATGCCTACTCTCAGTGCTATCAGGTCCAATGCATTCCCATAATGCCCTTGAAGAAAGAAGGCCCATATGTCAAAAAAAAGGGTTTATCAATTCTAGTAGTTCAAAATTGGGAAACATGTTCAAAGACAGTTCAAGAGTGACTTCCTACAGGGATTTGTCAGAACATGGACCTTTCCTGCTGTGCCTCTGGTCAAACGGTGTCTCTTGTCCTTGGTCTCTCACTGCTATTCAGTCTTGCTGTATTATAAATGATTATTTTACAGATCTCATCAAAAGTCCTTAATTCTGCACAGGTAGTCCACTTGTAGCACCTTCTTCTTATTGAGAACCCTGGGGAGAAAGTGCATCTTCTATTTTCAATACCTATGGCGATTTTGTTTCTAAGCTAAATTGTACTCATGTATTGATTTGGGCTAAATTTCTACATGCTTCTTGCAGCTGTTCACACCGTTCTAGTATTAATACAGAGCTAGGGAGACATGATTACAGGATGTGGAAAATGGCAATTTTCATCAACAACATGGGAAAATATTTAAAAAGAGATAGTTATATCCTATCGATTCAACCAAAATGACATGGAAAAATGCTTATTAAATCTCTTTCATAGAAGTAACTGTAAGGATTTAAATTCCTTTCCAATGGCATAAAAATGACATAATCTCTCCTGATTTTGTCATTTATGAATTTCTGTTCTGCATGGTAACTTTGGAATATATGACTTTTATGGGCTTAAGAAAAGAATGATAGGACAAATTTTTATTTAGAAGAAAACATAATCAACAATCCTTCCACAAGACAAGGAAGGGGGCTCACAGTGCTAATAAAATTGAAAGGGGGGAAATAATAACAAAACAGAATGTTGTAAAATTACAAAAGGGTGCATTACTAAATTGGCTTTCAGTATTTACCAAGAGGCTATTAAATGAGAATAGACATAATATTTCAAAGCAGTGGTATAAAAAAGGTGGATCATTTGACAACATTTCTCCTTACATTGGAGAAGTTTATACAATGTAGGGAATGGATCCCTTTGAATGCGTTATGCAGCCCCATTGAGACGCTGGCCCCACTAGACATAACAATGTTTCATAATCCACTGGTATTTGTCAGCCACCATTTACGCGCTGGGTGTCTCTCTGGTAATGCTGCCATATCTTAGTGTCCTTCTGAAAAATTCTTAGTCTAAAGGTCAGTATGGTCTCTGTCTCAACCATTACAAACAAGTTTATCTAATAAGAATTCATACATCCCAAATTTAGGAATACGAAATAGAAAAATTAAGTATATTTTTTCCGTTATCTTTGATTTTGACAAATCTTTATTTCAAGGAAACTATACCCACAATCCTGGAAACTCTGCCTAGCAATATAAGAAACTTGACACAGAATAAAAAATGGCCCTCGAGGGGATCTTAGGTGTGGTTAGGAATACCAAATCACAGAGGAGTATATATGATGCTTTACTCTTGGGGGACAGATACATAATGAAAAACTATGACTCGTGTATGGAATTCACCCTGCTATCATAAAAACAATTTACAGGTATTTTGATTAGAAGAACATATGAATATATAGGGAAAATGGCTCATAGTGTTGAAGAATATACCAGAAGTGAACATAGTATTTATATCAATATATAGTTATATCATGAACTACCTGAACCTCTTGGACCCAGATACTTAGATATAAAGCTGTTATATCTAAGACCAAGATGCCCTTCTGGTCTTCATATACATCCCAGAATTCTAGCAAGCATGCTATCTATGGTTCTGAGAAATACATATCCAAGGCAGGCAGTGTTCTCCTCTCATTGAATCCCCAAAGAATAGTGATTTAAAACACTTCTGGTCTACCAGCCAGAATGCTTCATTTTTAATCCCTTTATCCCAAGTTAATCAATTGCATGAGGACAATTCCCCCTTCATCCTTCATTCTCCCATCTCTCTCTCTCTCTCTCTCTCTCTCTCTCTCTCTCTCTCTCTCTCTCTCTCTGTCTCTCGTGTTGTGTTTGTGCACGTGTGTGTGTGTGTATGCGTGTTTCCAATCTTGTCCTTTTCCAGGCATGAACAGAATATTACCTGAAGATCATTTTGAGCAAACTGCTCTTCTACTTTGGAACTCTGAATACTCCAGTCAATTCTCTGTCAGATAGGGCTCTCTCTCCCTATCGTTTCTGATGACAAGTTCATAGATGCTTTGCTTATTCCCACAGGCCTTTGCCTTGACAAATCCTCCATCTCTATACCTTCATTTCTTACTGATAATTGCCCAATATACTCATGTTTCTCTGAACTCTGTCAACACTTTCCTGTAACAACAATCATCTCTGGATTATTTTCCTGGTCAATGTAACTTGGATTAATTATATTACCGTTCTAGAAAAGGTTAATTGATATTAATCTGTCTCTGTTCATTTATTTATCCAATTAACTCTGAAGTCCTATGCTATTAAAAAGTCCTAAATTCATAGCTATTAAGGTGCTTCTTACACCTGACATCCAGGTCCTTATCCAAGTTATCAAAGTCTCCATATTTCCCTATTTTTGCTTCTCCTTTCCATTCCCAAACTTTCTGCATGATTACTCCTAGAAAATTCATGCTAGTCATTGCACTTTTTTGTTGCAACATAATCATGATCACTAAAATCTCTACCAAAGTAGAGACCTCATCCCAATGGCCTTTTAGACATTTCTACATTTTGTTTTCAATCAGCTGCCAATTTCTAACACTAACAAGGCTACATTTCAAACAAAGGAAATTTCTATTTATTTATTTATTTCCTTATTTATTGGATTTTCGAGGCAGGGTTTCTCTGTGTGTAACTCTGGCTGTCTTGGAGCAGGATGGTCTTGAACTCACAGAGATCTGCCTGTTTCTGCCACCTGAGTGCTGGGATTAAAGACATGCAGCACCATTGCCCTGCCAAACTAAATTTCTTACTGTGCACACATGAAGGTTTTGTCCATTGGCCAATGCTAATAATCTTTCCAGCATAAAGATGCTTCACATCTTTTCAGACTGCATCATCAGTGATGTCTACTTGGATCAGTAATGTCCCTCCCATAAAATTTCCAGTGGGGATTCTATGAATCCACAGTGCCATACACCTCTCTTAAAACGTCTAAACTTCACTTACACCATATTTGATAGAACATTTGTCTTGGGCTTTCCATATGTTTACAGATGCCCCATCTAACCTATATCTTTCCTATCATGAAGTATTCTGAAAGGTCTAAAATGTACTAACTACCAGTGTTATATTTAACACAATGAGCTCATTTGAAACTTTCTAATTATACTGAGACCTTTTGACTTATTCAAAATCTAATACGCAGTTAACTGACCGAATCAGGACTCATAAAAAAGAATAATCTAGGGTCAGTACAAACTGAAACTTGTTTGAGGGGGTAATAAAGTTCAAAAGCATATATGATTTTCTGTTATATTCAGAGATTTAAAATTTAACTTTTTTTATAAAAAGAAGGCTTGAGTTAAATTCATTATTGATTTCTTTTTTATTAATATTGATTCTTCCCTTATACAGTACATTCCAAGCACAGTTTCCACTTGCTTCCACTCTGTCCAGCATCCCCGCCCCCACACCTTCCTCCTTCACCAGATCCATGCTCCCCCCATTTCACTTAAGAAGAGAGCAGACCTCCAAGAGACAACTGAACACAACAGAACAGGATAAAATAAGACAAGGCAAACACCCTTATATTGAGGCTGGACAAGACAACCCAACACCTATTGTGGAAAACAGTCTCAAGACCAGGCAAAATAACTCTGTAATGGATTGCTGGGAAGATGACTTAGTGATTAAGGTTACTTACTGCTCTTGCAGAGGACCCTGATTTGGTTCTCAGAATCCACATGGTTGTTTACAACCATCCTTAACTTCAGTTCCACAAGATCTGATGCCCTCTTTTGACTGACTAGGATAACAGGCATGCACATGCTATGCACACATGCTTGCTAGCAAAGCATTCAAATAAAATAAGATTAGTAAATCTAAACTTTTAAAAATATTTGAATTTTTCCTCCAAATGTATTATACTGAGACCTAGTACAAGCACTTTATGTAAGTTCTCTTTGAGCCTCCAATTCCTTATCTGTTAGAAGTCAGTAATCTTATGCACTCCAATAAATGATTGTAAATACATAAATAATGCCTGTCTAGATAAGGCCTCCATAGCTAGAGTTATCAGTAAACCTTAGCTGAGTGTGGTAATATTTCCATCATTTATCAGCAAAATTAGCCATACTAATAAAGATGATTTTAATATCTACTCATATTGAAATCCCCCTAGAATGCTTTGCTTTAGTCCTGGATATATAACTATTGAACAATCAAAACAACTTTTAAAAAAGCCTCACAAACCACCAGCTGTGAAGAATAAGGACATTAGAGTAACATCCAGGAGGAGAGATAAAAGTGATTGAAATGATGCTGCTTAAAATGGCTTTGATGAAAGATTTAATATTTCTCTCAAAATTATTTAGAATTTGTAAAATGGAAACAGCAACTGTCTGGTTTTGTTTCTAATGGGAATATGAACTTCATAGAATGTGTGAAGTTATACAGAGCATGAAAAATGGCTCTGAACTACACTGGAATAAATAACAAAGGGGCTGACAGGTCGCTGAAAGATGAGATCATTTGTCTTATATGTCTAAAATGATGTCTAACTTCATCCACATAAATGCATGGCAGGTGGCTTAAGCCCCGCCTCCTTAAGTTACAAGATGGGCCTCTGAGGAGGTGCCTTAGGCGCCTTTCTTCTGTTGGCTTCACCTCTTACCTGAGCTCTCATCCAGACTTTCCTCTGAGACGTGCTCATTCTGATGGACCCACTCGCCGTTGCACTTGAAGAATATCTGCATGGCTGGCCTTGCTTTGCATCGGAGAGCAATAGGGTTGCTCTTGATGATGTAGGCATCTTCAGGCTCCTCTACAAAATGAGGCAGTGTTCCAGGGGCTGATGGGATGGAATCAGGGAGAACTTCACTATTGTCGGTTCCTGGAAAATCAAAGAAGACATCAGAACACAGCCTGCAGCAAAGACTCACGAATCACATCACAATGATGAATCCACACCAGCTCAAAAAAATGTGAGCTGAAATACTGTCAATACAGCATGACTGTTAGATCTGCTTAAGGTTATCTACTAAAAGTTGGTCTAGGAAAAAAAAGGAGCCTCCAGGGGATGCATGTACATATTGCTGAACAAATGAAAGCAATGAATGTGATAACTCCCAAATTCAATTAGAATCTGAGTGTCTGAGAAATGAACTGAGATAAGTAACAGTGGGGCCAAATCTCTAATTTATTCTTTTAAATGTTTACCTCATAGTCAGTGGGGATTGCAAGCTGCCTTAATCCTTGAGAAAAAAATGGAGAGAGTATAAGCAAGGTTTGCCACTGAAATAAATCAAGCATTATAATAGCTTCTCCTAAACATGACTGTTTTCTGCTACATATGTCAACCTAAGGGGGGAGGCAGCCTTAAACAAAGAGTTTAAGATAGTAGAAGCTTGCTACACAGTTAAAAAGGAGGGGCTGATTTCTATGTGAGAAACTAGAAGTAATAAAAATTCATAAAACAAGTACTCGAAAATGGGCAAGTATTTTAATTCATGAATGTACAACATAGTCGTTGATTATATATGATATATAATATATAACATATAATATATATATTATGTATATAATCAAACTGTAAGAAGAGAGATCCTTTCCAGAATCCAGAATAGAATATCAGAGGGTGTGTGTTTGTTTGTGTGTGTGTGTGTGTGTGTGCGTGTGTGTGCACCCACGATGTGTTAAACTATATTTATAATGGTTTTCATAAAATAGATCATATATTAATTTACTTTATTACTGACTGTTCATGCCAAATTCCATTTTCAATAGATACCAGGTCCCCACAGGCTTTTGTAAATCCATACATTAGAGGAAATGATAAAGGTATTAAAAGATTTTATATGGACATCAAATGGTGATACTGCCACAGAGGTTTGAGCTCTGTTCAAGTAATTCATTGCTCATTAAAAGGTAACTGATAGGAATACATAGCATTCCCCCACCTAGGGTGGGAGCATGAATGAAAAGACACAGAGATACATTTGTACCAATACATTTTTGCCTACAAACAATGTATGAATATTTGAAGGAAGTGCAAGGGAGATGTTACAAACTCTAAGCAAATATTGAGAACACATTTGTAAAATGACAAAACGGGAAGGAGATTATACAATAAATCAAGTTTTAAATATCCAACACACAAAACAGGGAGATCTAAAAACTATTAGGTTTCCCCCTTTCCATTTTAATAGATGTCCTTTAGTTAAAGAAAGCAGCTGAGCCTTCATCAGAGATAGGGAGCAGGGGAGTACATGAAGAAGCCTGAGGGTAAATGTTCTGGGTATGCACAGATCTCTTTTAAGAATCAGTAGATCTTAATGTTTAGAGGAGACAGAAATGGAAGGGAGAATGTAATATTTAATCTCAGATATCATTGAAGCATTGCTCAATTCATGTCCTACACAGAAAAAAATAGCTAGGATCTTTTAATACACAAAATACAATTAATTTTTAAGAATAGTAGTTATCTAAACTTAAGAGATCACAAGTATAGATTTGTGTATTTCTATCATTTATAACAAATATTTGAAGTAAATGACAGTGAAGTGTAAGCTATTTCCCCTTTCCCCTTGCTTTGTACAGAGGGAAAGCTAGAGGTGTTGTTTGACCTTGTCTACCCTTTGAATGACACCCACCCATCTCCATTTTTTCATTTCTCATTTGACCAGGTTCTATTCCTGGGACAAGAAGAACCAGCCATGTTAATTTCTTCCAGCAGATGGCTTGGTGTCCCACCTGTCTGTCTGCCATTTCAGATGCACAAGACAAATGGGCTGTCATCCTTCTCAGTTCCCAAGATGAACCTCATGATCAGTCCTCCTAGAAGTTTGGAACAAAATTCTTTAGGAACTTATTAGGGGGTTCTTCAAGAAAAAGGAAAGGGGCTAGGAAGATGGCTCAGTAAATAAAATGCTTGCTAAGCAAGCATGAGGATCTGAGTTCAATGTCTAGAACCCACCTAAAAGTGTCACACATTTATAATTTACTTGGGAGGCAGAGACAGACAGATCTCTGATTCACTGGCTTTAAATCAGTGAGCTCCAGAGTCCACCGAGAAACCTCTCAAGAAACAAAGTAAGCAGCTCCTTAGGAATAATACATGATTGATTAATATCCTCTACATGCAGGCATAAATTCACTCATACTTGCATACATACAAGCTTGCACACTCATGTGAACAACATACACATATGTACACACAAAACTGGGGAAGGAAAGAAAATGACAAGGAATGCGAAAGGAAGTAGGAATTATTTTAGGGTCTTTGAAGTTTATTGATTTTGTTCTGTGGGAGGGTGGGATAGGTCATTACTTTATCAAATCAATATAGTTCTGTGGAAACTAAATCAATGCGTTTGTACTTCAAACCAAATCTACTTGCCATCTTGGTACATCTTCTACCTTTTTTGTGTCAGAAAAAAATTAAGATCTTATGTGTCAAATATTGGTAAGAAATCCTAGTCAATTGCTTTCCTCAACATCCTGGTTATGGTAAATGCTGGAAGTCATGCTTCTTTGTAGACACTCTTGAATGGTAAGACATAAACAAAAACTTGTGAAGATCCCTTTATTTCTCTGATAAAAGCTGTGGTTTTTACCAGCCCTTCCCCCTTCACTCCCTATGGGGTAGGCCACAAGGGAAATCAAGGAGGAACACAGAGTCTGAACAGAAATGGCTGACAGCTTATACACCACCAGCAGACACCATCCCCAGAAACAGAAGACAGCATTTTGAAAGTTACTGAGTCATATTTTGCTACATGTTATGATAAGATAAAAAACTTGGAAACTATGTGGGAAAAAAGCAAAACTAAGACTTGCTTACTACATGATTACAGGTGATAGTGCCAGTATCTTCAGAGCTCAATCACTGAGACCGATTTCCCAAGTAGGACAGTCTATCATTGGCCCCACAGTCATTTCCCAAATCATGGCAAGAGACTTGTTTTTAACTATGAAAGCTCAGTGAATAGTTTAGGCTTGTTTTTAGCTATCTCTTATAACTTAAATAAACTCAGTTTTTATTAATCTACATTCTTTCATGTGGCTCAGTTATCTTTTACTCTATAATGCCCATTTTGCTTCCTCTCCATTGTTGATGACTCTACCTCTTTTCTTCCCAGAGTTCTCTCTATCCAGATGTCCTTTCCATTCCTGTCTAGCTATTGGCCATTTTGCTTTTTATTAAACCATTCACAGTGACAAATATTTACACAGGGTAATCAAATATTTCATAGCAGATTACTCTAATTTGCATTCTCAAGAACGCTTGGCATGAATGAATGTCTTGTCTGAGGCCATACAGTCAGAAAATGGTAGACTCAGAATGTGAACTTACGAATTCAGCTCCAACCAATAATAATTCCATTTCAGTTCAGTTTCATATTGTCATTTAGTGTTTGCCAGCCTTAGGGGGACTGTATACAATTTACAGAATCTAAAGATGAAGATATGAAAGCAGACTTCATCTGTATGATCTGTATGTCCCTCACCATTGCCATCAACTATGACACTTATCCTGTCAGTTGATCAGGCAGTGAAAGTTAGGATGGCATTACAGGCACAGTTGAGAGAAGGTTATAAGAAAAAAAGTCAAGAGAAAAACAAGTAATCACCCAGACGTATTCAACTTATGAGTCATTCTCACCAAACCTAGAGATAATGAGTCAGAAGCTGGTGCAGCTAAATGAAAGAGCACTCACTTAACACAGACAAGGCCTTGGATTCTCTTCCTGTCTTCACACACATTTACATAAACAGACATACACCCCACCCTATGAGAATAATATTATGAAGATATTTCCACATTATCATATGAAAACAAATATTCCCTTTTAAGCAGACATATTTAAGAATCAAGTTCCAATTAAAACAAGGAATATTGTTAAAATGTTGGTAAGCCTCAGAAAAGGGTGGGGACAATGGCATTATCATCCTATAAGCTGTTTGACTCTTTCTTGTATTGTATCATTAGTGGCCTTGAGATATATTCACTTGCTTGCTTACCATGCATGAAGCACGAAACCCTGGTCTGATCCCTGGTACTAGATAGACTGAGTGTTTTCATTAGCACACATCTGTTATTTAAGCCCTGGGGAGGCAGAGTCTGGAAGATGAGACCATTAAAGCAATCCTTATCAAAACAATGAGTTTGAGCCAGCCTGAGCTATATGACACCCTGTCTTAAAATACAAAATAAAATAATAGAATTGGACTCATATCAGCCTATAGATATCACAAAACAGGACTGATGAAACACAGTACCACTATCTATAGAGCTTTCTGTAGGTGAAGAAATTCTAAATGGTTACATTCCCTTTCCTTGAAATGCTATTACATTTAATATACTTCACATTTTCTATTCCATCTGTAAAGCAAGCTTGTTTTCTATACCATACTGGTATTAGTTTCAAATACATCTGGGTAATGTTACCTGAGTCATCTGACTGAGGTTCTGTTTGTTCATTCTTGTTTTTAGCTCAAAGTAAATATATTTATTTATTAAAATATGATCCAACACAAATCACTCTCAGCTCAGTGATATATACACAATACAACTTTCCCTTATGTATACATGTCTTAACTTAAAAAAAACCCTCTTTTGTTGACTTTTTTCATACAATAAATTTTTCCTTTTTTTAAACTTTAAATTAGAAACAAGCTTTTTTTACATGTCAATCTCAATTCCCTCTAAATCCTCTTCTCTCCTGCCCCCCCAAGTCCCATATCCCATCCCATTTTTGCTCCCCAGAGAGGGTGAGACCTTCCATGGGGGATCCTCAAAGTCTGTCATGTCATTTGGAGCAGGGCCTAGACCCTCCCCCATGTGTCTAGGTTGAGAGAGTATACCTCTGCGTGGAGTTTGCTTCCAGAGTC